CAGGCTTCTGGCTGTGGGTGATGGCCGTCTCAGCAATGAGAGGCCTCCCAGCTCTGTCCCTCCTTTGAGCAGATCCCCCCAGCCCCGCCAAGGCCAGACTTTGAAGCTTCGAGGGAAAAGCTGCAGAAGTTGGGTGAGGGGGACAACTCCATCACGCGGGAAGAGTTTGCCAAAATGAAGCAGGAGCTAGAAGCGTGAGTGCCACCTCCTTTCCTTGTCTGTAACAAAGCCCCAGCCCCACTCCTCTCCTGAGGGCCCCAAGATTTCTCTCCTGACTATCCCCTCTGGATGTTAGGGACCCTGACCTCTGACCCCAGGGCTGCCTAGGGGGAAAGGGACAGGATGGGCAGAGCCAAGAAGGGCCCTCGAGCCTACTGTTCTCTGCAGGGAGTACCTGGCAATCTTTAAGAAGACAGTTGCGATGCATGAAGTCTTTCTGCAGCGCCTGGCGGCCCACCCCACCCTGCGTCGAGACCACAACTTCTTTGTCTTTTTGGAATACGGCCAGGACGTGAGCTGGGCCTGAACGGGGGTCACCCTCTGGGGGTGGGGGGGCCGGGCTCTAGATGGGCTCAAGCCTCTGTCTTATCAGCTCCATGAGTGGCATGTGCCTGGGGTAGGAGGTGCACATGCCCATGCCAACATCACACTCTCCCCACGTGTGCCTCAGCTGAGTGTCCGAGGAAAGAACCGGAAGGAGCTCCTTGGGGGGTTTCTGAGGAATATCGTGAAGTCGGCAGATGAAGCCCTCATCACCGGCATGTCAGGGCTCAAGGTGAGAGCCCTGGGGCCCCTCTCTGGATTCAACCCAGGGCCTCAAGTCCACAGCAAAGATTGAGGCCCAGGGTGGCTGCTGGAGGGAAGACACTGGTGGGGCCTGGGCTTGAGGGAGATTGTGCCACCCCTGGGTGTCCGTGGCTGCCATGCTTCTGGTGACTCAGCGTAAGTGGATCCTGTCTGGCCCCCTTAGGAGGTGGATGACTTCTTTGAGCACGAGAGGACCTTCCTGCTGGAGTACCACACCCGCATCCGGGATGCCTGCCTGCGGGCAGACCGCGTCATGCACTCCCACAAGTGTATGCTGGGCCCAAGGGGCCCAGACTCCCTGCTCCCTCTCCCCAGTGGTCCTACTCCTCAGGGGGGAGAGAAGAGAGCAGGAAATGCCCTGTGTCTGTCCATGGCCACAAACACCAGGGGTGAGGCTTGACCTGCAGACCAAGGGGCTCTGATGGAGGGCTGTTCCCCAACAGGCCTGGCAGACGATTATATCCCCATGTCAGCTGCACTGAGCAGTCTAGGAACACAGGAAGTCAACCAGCTAAAGACGTGAGGACTCCCACTGGTCCCTCCTGCCCTCTGTCTATGCCTGTAATACTGTGTCTTCCCATGAGGGGTCACTGTGGAAGCCTACTATCAGCAGGGAGGTGCAGAATTCTGCTCCTGCTGGGATTTGGGAGAGAAAGAGGAGTGGGAGATTTCCCCAAGGGGGAGCTAAGGGCCCTAAGACCCCTAAGACCTCTGCCCTAACTCCTCCCCACTGCCTCCTAGGAGCTTCCTCAAATTGGCAGAGCTCTTTGAACGACTAAGGGTGAGTAGTGCCTTCTGTGTTGAAAGGCCACCCAACGATCCTTTGCAGGGAAGAGTCCTGGGAAATGGCAAAGCTCTGGGATCATTTTGGAATGTTCAGTGATATTGGGCCCAGTGATGCCCTGGACTCATCCTCCAGACTAGTTTAATAAGAGGTGGAGGGGCCGGCCAAGTGGCAAAACGGTTAAGTTCGCGTGCTCCGCTTCGGCAGCCCAGGGTTTGCGGGTTCAGATCCCAGGCACTGACTGATGCACCATTTGTCAAGCCATGTTGTTGCAGCGTCCCATGTAACGTAGAGGAAGATGGGCACAGATGTGAGCTGAGGGCCAATCTTCCTCAGCAAAAAAGAGGAGGATTGGCAATGGATGTCAGGACTAATCTTCCTCACACACAAAAAAATGAGGTGGAGTGGAGACAGGGATCTAGCCTCACACGTGTGTGTGGTAATGCAGGAGAGCGGTAGGAACCTGGTTTGGAGAGGCACTTACAAGGAAGTGCCACGTGCCTCTGGCAGCTGAACCGTGCTGCCAGCCTCCTGCCCCAGAGGCACACTTCCTGAACTCTTCTCCAATAAAGTCACTGGAGTGTGTTAGTCTTTCTAAAATGTCTGTTGGGCCACATCTCATCCCTGCTCAAGGCCCTTCAGCGACACCGCCCCTTCCAGAAACTGCCCAAGACATAAAGCCCAAAGTCCTTAGCTTACGTTTTAGGCCTTTTGTGACCTGGCCACTGCCATCCAAGTGCCCCCACTGAACTTAGGCTTCCCTAAACACACACCAGGCTTGCGTACCTTCAAAGCATTGGGCTGCTAATTCCTACTCAACTCCCAGATCCAGATCAGATGCCACCTCCTCTGTGAAGCCTTCCCCAGCCTGCTACCCTGAACATCAGGACTTAACCTAGAGTGGTTACCAGGTCACTCTGCTGGATATTTAGATGAGCAGCAGCCCCTAGCTGCCCCTCTGCAAGCTCCCTCCCCAGCCACCCCTTCCTGCTTCAGAAGCTGGAGGGCCGCATGGCCTCTGACGAGGACCTGAAGCTGTCGGACATGCTGAGGTACCACATGCGGGACTCGCAGGCAGCCAAGGTGAGAGGTGGCCCCAGAGACCTCAGGGCTAGAGGCTAGCGGGACTGGAACGGGAGAGGGCAGGCTGGCGAGGGCTGTGGTAGGTGATCCTGCGCCCCTGCTGGCCCCAGGACCTGCTGTACCGGCGGCTGCGGGCGCTGGCCGACTATGAGAACGCCAACAAGGCGTTAGACAAGGCGCGCACCAGGAACCGCGAGGTGCGGACCGCGGAGAGCCACCAGCAACTCTGCTGCCAGCGCTTCGAATACCTCTCCAACTCAGCCAAGCAGGGTGAGCCCTGCAGCCCTGGAGCCCCTGCCACTGGGCTGCCTACCCTGCCAGGGTCCCCATTATTCTCCCCTCTCCTCTCCAGAGCTCATGGACTTCAAGGCCCGCCGTGTCTCCTCTTTCCGCAAGAATCTCATCGAGTTGGCAGAGCTGGAGCTCAAACACGCCAAGGTGAGCCCTCCAGCCTCTCTGCCTCCCTCCCCAGGCCTCTAGGTTCTTATTTGTGTGTGTGTGTTGAGGGGAGGGGGAGAGGCAGCTGTGAGCAGCCCCAGCTGAGGTTCAAGGCCACGTTTCCCCATCTTGGGCCAGAACCCTTGCCTCATCACAAATACTAAGCCCTAAATAAATGGCAGCTGTTATTACTGACGACAGGGATGTGGGGAGGGAGGGGACAGGAGTTTTCTGAAGTGTGGGAGGAGCACCCTGTCTCAGAGAGCAGGGGGTAGTGGGCAGGGGACATCAAGAACTTCTCTTCCGCAGGCCAGCACTCTGCTTCTCCGGAACACCCTCGTCGCCCTCAAGGGGGAGCCTTAGAGCAGCCAGAGCCTGCTCTGGGACCTTCAGTGACAAGTCCCTCAGACCTCCCACCCCAGCAAGATGCCTCCCTCCCCTCCACAGCAGCCACTAGCCATGCCCCATAACCTCCCAGGTCAAGTCCAAGCCCTACCCCCACCCAAAGGTGCCAGGCCCTGCAAGAGGGAGACAGGGCAGTATGGGCACCATACTTGGTCAGAGGTAAGCAGAGCCCCAAGGGGGGAGCCCACGGGCCCTGACCTCCCTCCCCAGGGGGCTGAGGGGCAGCCCTCCACCCACCATCTGGTCCTGGAGTTCATTTGTTCCTAGTCTGTTCACAAATAAAGAGCCTGATTTTGTAGCAAGGCCTGCTTGTCCTCACTTCCCACAGCTCCAGGGCACACCAGGCACACCCTCTACCAGGGCACTACGGAGACCAGATCCTCGGAGAACAAGGGGGGGCACCCCTGCAGCATCCTTGGCCATTTCCAGTGCCAGCAGGCTCTCCGTGGGAAGGTGCAAGACTCACAACTTGGAACCCACGAGAGTCTTCAAAGCATGCCACCACCAGCCCCATAGACCTTGGCAGGGACCACATGAGGCTCATCACAAATCCTCTATACCAGTAAAATGGAACTACCCCTTCCTGCCTCCCTCTCAGAGATCCTGGCAAGCTCCAAGGAACTAAGGAACCAGCCCTAACTCCAGGAGACTTTTTTAGTTCAGTGACTGGAGGAAAGGTGCAAATCGCGCATTACCACCCCTAGGGTGAAACTTCTAGGATATCTTTACCTGCTGGGCAACTGAAAGCCCAAAGTACAGACTGGCAAGTCCGCAGCAATGCTAGCAAAAGGCTCGGGCTCCAGCCAACACCCTCTTGGCTAAACAGAGGGAGGTGGGGCTCAAGACACCTGGGTCTGAAGTCCTGGGCTCCACCTGGCTGGCCCCACCCTGGACTCCAGCCACATGTGCAGAAGGCCAAAAGCTCAACTTAGCTTCTGACTCACAGCAGCCACTGGAAGTGGCCCTCATAAATGAGTCAACCATCCAGGAAAGAAGGCAGAGAAAAGACCAGAGGACCTTGAGAGTGGAAAAAGAAGCTCAAGAGGCAACCTGTGATTTGCAACCTCACAGCCCACATAGGGCAGAACTGAACAGGGAATCAGAGAATGAGCCTCACTGTCCTGCTGCCCACACGGGTCAAGGCTACAGAAGAAAGCAGTTCAGGCATGAAGCCCCTTCTGCTTGAGGGCCACCTGCAGCCAGCAGCAGATGCCTTAGCTCAGCTACCTCCCCTTCAGCCAGTCTCAAGTCAACTGTGGCACCACCTGTAGAATCTAAGAGTGGCAGCTGTCAGAAGGGAAGCCGGGCCAGTCACTGGGGCCAGATGAGGGTGTGTAGGGCAGGTTGGAGGCAGGGTATAGAAAAGAGATGCTCATTCTCCCAGCCTACCTCCCCCAAAAGGTCCCCTGGGCCCCAACCCTGAAACAAACATCCCATTAGTGAGCCTTTTTATGGTTGTGTGTGTTTTTTTTTTTTTTTAATTGAAGGTCCCTTACTGGTCCCGCTTCCATGAGTGGCCGCGACCAGGAGAAAAGGGGAGGGGAACCAGGCAGCGCGGGGAGGGGTCATCTCCACAACATTCCATTTATACACAGAACTAAACAGACAAGCACAGAGTCACTATTGCAGTTAGAAGTTGGCAGCATGGGAAAGGGGAGGAACACGTGGGAACTGGGGTGTCGTTAAAAAAAATACAGGTCCCCCCCAAACTGGGGTGCCCAGGGGTAACTTGGTCTGCTTCAACCCAAGAGGAATCAGAAGATCAAAAGCAGTTTGGGAAGGCCAGAACCGTCAGGAATGGAGGAGGAGGAAGGTCCGGGGTGGGGGGGCTGTTTGGCAACTGGGGTGACGGGATTGCCCTCCCCCTGCTGGGATCCCCCCAGCCCCTCCGGTCTGGCAGGAAGGGGGCAGCCTGCAACCCCTGTGGGCAGGTCTGGGGCTGCCAGATGCTCCAGGCAGGGGGCTGGAGGGAGCTCACAAAGGTTTGCCCTCCAGGGAGATGACGGCGCTGCCCCCCAGCTTCTCTGCCAGAGTGCAACGGTCCTTGACCTCCTCGTAGCAATTTGCTTGTAATTCATGCTTGATCCCTGTGGGGAAGAAGGGGGAGCATCTGTGAGCAGGAAGCACTGGGTGTGGGGGAGTTTGTGGCTGGGAAGGAGCCAATCAGAACAGATGGATGGCACAAGATTACCTTCCAGCAGGCAGGCAAAAAGAGGAAAAGGGACCTCCCTGCCATGCCATTCACCCCACCCTGCAGCCAAGGACATGTGGACACATTCCACCCTGAGTGGAAGGACATGTGGCACCACCAATGCTGGCCCTTACCTGTCAGCTTCTTCTTGATGGCATCCTTGGAGCTGGCATAGATCATTTTGCTCTTAAGGGGTGCAGACTCAGGGGCCCTAGAGGCAAACAGAGTCAGAGAACTTGCAGCAAAGCCCGCTCCTCCAAATCTAACAAGTGCCCTCAAGCAACAGATGACTTCTAGAAACCCTTGAACTGGCCCCTAGCATTCAAGTTTTTATCAAGTTCCTCATTGACACGTCTTTTGTTACAACACTCTCCCCCCAAACACGCCTCTGGGTAACCCACAGCCACGGATGTTCCCATCCTGAGAAAGGGGGGTGCAGCAGAGCTAAGGCAGGTGACAGGAAGAAACACCTGCAGAGGAGCTCACCAGAAAATAAACACCAGGTCCTCCTTCTTGCTCTCCTTGGTCTCATAGGTTGCATCATAGAGGGCGTAGCGGCAGTCCTTGTCTGGCAGCATCTTGACAAAGGTGGCGTAGGGGTCGTCTACAGTCTGACCCACGTCACCTACCAGGATCTCCTTGCCCTCCTCCAGGATGATATTCTTCTTGTCCTCGCTCAGGCAGAACAGCACTGCCTTCTTGCGCTTCTTTACCTCCTCTGGTGTTGATGACTTACGCACCTTCATGTCGTTGAACACTTTGATGACACCATCAGAGACAGCCACACCGGAGGCCTGGGGGACAATCCACACACACACACACCTAGTAAGAAAAAGGTTTCTGGGACTCCGCCTGCAATCCCTCCTTTGCTTTTCTTAGAAGATCCATCTGGATGTCAACAAATACAGTCCTCAGCTCCAAGAGATCATTAAACCCCTTAACTGTCACTATTTTCCCACCCAAGCCACTATCAAAAGAGCACCTAGGACACAACCTTAGAATGGCAGCCATAGAAAACCTCTGATGATGTAATTCAACATCATTTCTCCCCTCCCCAACATCTTACAAGCTAGTAAATGAAAACCTGCGAGAAGCAGAGCGTTGGCTAAGATGTGAGCCCAGAATTAAAAGAATCCAAAGGCTACTGACTCGTTCCCTACTCACAGAACTCAATCTCAGCTTTTGGATAAAAGTGCTAACTCAGAACTTCACAGATAGCAGAAGACGATCCAGACACTGAAGTCACAGTCATCTCTTCTGCAAAGAGAGAACCAGGACCCCACGACGCTAGACGGGACACCAACATGCTCAACAGTTCCAGCAAGGCCCTCAAAACTGCTCAATCCAGTTATTACACCAACCATCCTCTTCTCTGTTGGGATCTTCCCCAACCAAAGAATCGTAACCCCTAATTAAGACCCTACTCACCACCACCCTGTCCTCCAGGGAAAATGCAGGCCCCAAAAGTCGCTGATAGACGTTATCAGGGCCAACTCAAGTGCCCTGGGTCCTTGAGAGCTCTTTAAACTTCTATTCTGGGTCGTGCTGGGGGACACCCCAGCCAGGAGAGGGAGCGACCGTCCACGGCGAAAACTGCCGCGCCCCCCCTCCCGGAACTGCAGAGGAAGCCGGCCACGTGACACCGCCGCTTCCGGAGTAGGCGGGGAAGATCTGCTAGGCCCGGCCCCCTCGGCGAGAAACCCGTATCCAGAGGCGGCAGCACCTTCAGGGCCTCAACTCCAGAGAATCGCCTTTACCGACCGATGTTACTAGCCCCCTTCGCTGCGGGCCAGGGCCTGGGCAAGTTACACAACCTTCGGCTCTCGCAGCCCTCGGGCCGAACACAGGAGGCGGGGTGGTTTCCGGGCGGTGCCCGCCTGGGTCACTTCCCTAAACTCGGCTCCACCCTCAGGCCCCATCCGGGAAAGCCGCCGGCCCCACTTGTCCAGGGCTTCGGGCCCTAGCTGCCAGACCTGAGCGGTGCGCACGCGCCGCCCGAGAGCGCCGTTCCGGACTGTGCTGGGTGGAAACCGCGAAGAACTCAGCTCGCTTTGGGGCCGCTCGCTCCTGACCCAGGCCGTGGCCTCTGCGGTGTCCGCTCCGTGCCGCGCGGTGTAAACTCCTAATCCCAGGCGCCTGCGCCCGGACCCCGCGGCCCCCGCATCCCCACCGCCCCCGCCCTTCCCGGGCGCAGGCATCCCTGCCACCTGCTCTCGACCCAGAACCGCCTGCCGAGGGAGGGTGACGCGAAGACAGGAACAGCCCTTGGGTGGGGCGCGCGCGCCAAGCCCGCTCGCGCGCTTTTCCTCCGCCGCCCCCGGGCCAGGTTTGCATGCCGCGTGCTCCCATCGAGCGCGCGCCCCCGTGAACCGACCCGCTTCGGCGGCTCCGCGAGGG